GTTCCCCCGGGTTGCCTGTGGCCCCTCCCGGTCACCTGCACCACCCAGGCAGATGCCCCGCTCTCCCAGTGCCAGAAGCTGCTGCTGGTTTTTTTTTTTTTTTTTTTTCCCCATCTCGGTCTTGGGGATTAAAAAATGCTTCCGAATGAGCAGTGCCCCCAAGGGTTGCTGGCTGCAAAAATCGGCATGCCGGGGCCCCAGGTGCCATCCCGCTGTCCGTTGCCCCGTGCATCTCGACGCTTAGCCCCTGCGGCAGACAGCACCGCAGCCTGCGCGCAACGTAGCGCAGCCGCGAGTCGAGGCAACCGGCCCTGAAGACGAAGGCCTGGCGCACGCTACGGTGTCTCGACAGGGGTGGAAGAGCCCCTGTTCTGGCCATCGGGACTTCTGGGGGGGATTTGGACCCGCGCCGCAGTGCTCCGAGCTAGGGGCCCCCTCGCGAGCAGTGGCGTGGATGGTGTGCCGGTTTCGGGAGGTACCGAGGGGCCATGGAGGAGGGAGCCTGGTACCGTCCCGGCGCACATGCTGATAGGAAATCCATCCCCCAGGTGGGACACCTGATCGAAATGGAGCAGTTAAACTTTAATGAGGGATAAAAACAGCCTGGGCTAAAGACGTGCTGCCCTCCCTGCCCCCACCCCCGGGCCGCCCCCGGGCCGCGGGGGGCACTCACCATCCTCCTGGCTGTGGAGGTTTTGAGGGCTGCGCATGCTCTCGTCCTGGCTGGGGCTCAAGCTGGAGTTCAGATGCTGGTCAGCTGAGATCCATGTGGAGTCATTCATATCAAAATCCTCGCTGCTCACCGAGGTCTCATCCTGAAGGCAAGTGGGGAAAGGGTTAGCTTGGGAGAGCTCCCTCCAGCTAGGGGAGAAAAGATGGGCGGCCCCCGAACCCCCAAAGGTGCGCGCTTGCCAGCCGGCGTCGGGGGCGCTGGGATGGGCCGCGCTCCGGGAGAGGTGGCGTTTCCCCCGCGGAGAGCGCTACCGCTCCGCTTCCTGTCGGAAGATGTGCCTGAGGAATGGCACTGTCTCTAATTGAGGACAATTAGAAAGCACTCGCATCCTGTAGGAGCGGATGGCCGAGCCCTGGAGTTTACCCTTTAATCTCCATCCGTGCTCCTGTCTCCGGGGCAGACGAAACGTGGTGCGGGCGGCGGGGAAGGAGGGTGCGACTTGATTAAAAAGGCTCGGGCTGACGCCTGTGCCTGGTTACAAACCCCTCCTGGACAGCCGGCAGCGTGCGGCCAAATCCTCGACGGGGCAGCAGCAATTTTTCCACGGAGCCGTGCTGCTAAACCCCAGGGGAGGACGAGCCTCCTCGGGCTCTAAGCACGGGACTCGGATTGGCCTGCAGGACCCGGGGGCCCTGCGCTGCGGGGAGGCGATGCACGGAGAAGCCCAGATGCAGCCCGGGCAGGGTCCAGAGAGGGTCTCTGGGGTCCTTGGGGAAAGGGAGGCAGCAAGAGCCGAGGAAGCCCCGGGGACGGCGGGACAGCCGCCCGGTCCGAAGGGCTCGCGACACCCCGATGGGCACCCGGCGGCAGCCAGGCCTGGCGGCCGAGTATAACGAGGCTCTCGTGCCGACTGCGCAAGGAACACGCCAGCTCCCAAGTCGGGAGAACCTCACCCAGCAATGCCACGGCCGTGCCTATAGCATAGATTAAATTCCTCTCTCCCACTCCTGCAGCTGAAAGGACATTTTCTCTCTCTCTCTCGCTCTCTTCCCCCTCCTCTCTCCCTCTCCCTCCTAACCTTTACTGTACTTCAAGACACAGCCCTTGGAGAGCTTCCAGAGCCGGAAAGGTCAGCCACAGGATTTCAAAATCATCATCATAAAGGCAGCACTGAGATCCTGAATGAAAGGAGGGGCTGAGGGACCTCCCTGCGTCGAGCCTCCTCCGAACAGGCAGCTACGAAGGAAGTGCGGATACGTGTTCCCTGCTTAACACATCCCCTTTTTAATGGTTCCTTTATCTGCCTTTCCTCTTCCCCCTCCTTCCAAGTCACAGAGCGAGACCGCAGCCAGCGCGGTGGGCTGGAGGGCGGCACCAGCCCACGCTCGGGGTGGCTTTCCTGCTTCCACTGCTCTCACCTTCTTGATTTTTCTTTTAAAACAACCTTTCCTGGCTCGTAACCTCTCTGTTCCCCTTGCATCTATGGGACTGGGGGGGCGGGAATCGGCTCCACTGCCTTTCCTTGCAGGAGCCCCTCCACCGGGCACCTACGCCTTGTAAAGCTGCCTGGTCTCCCGGCCTCTGGCTGACTTGTTATGGAGAACAAACAAACCTCTTTAAAAGCAGGTTTGAACTTTCTTCTTTCCTGGTCCCCGCAGACACATCTGCTGTGCTCGCTCAGAGAAGGAAGGGCTTAGGAATGGCTTGGTTCGGCCTGCCCGCGCCCCCCTCCCGACCGAGATGTGCCTCAGAGGGAGTTTCCTGGAATTTACAGCTTCTGTACGGCCTCGGCTCCAGCGCTTGTAAAACCCAGCCAGGCAGCCACGGGGCTGCTCCTGAACACGCGTGCGTGCCCACCCTGTAGGGACACAGGCGCGCGTGTGTTTGTGATGGACCTGCAGCGTGCAGCCTCCAACCAAGCGTGCTCACGCTGAGGCGACCCGGACACGAGTGTGCGTGTGTGCTCACAAGTGCACAGTGGCCCGGGCCTGCGGGAGACGCACGAGGGAGAGAGAGCAGACGCCCCTCCTTGGCTGTGACCCAGGGCAGTATCTGATGCCCTGTTTCTAGCTGCTCTCTGGTGCTTCCAGGTGCAAAGGTCTCCTCCTTGCTAACTGCCCATCCTAATTCTAATGCAAGCGTTTGCTGGGGGGCTGTTCCAGCGCCCGAAAAGGCCCCAACAGAGCAGTCGTCTTAAAAGACCCACAGCTCGGCCCTCTTGTTGCTAAGTCCGCGGGAGGCCAGGGGTGCGACCTGCAGTGATGCCCAACAACGGTCAGGTCCGGGTTCAGAGAAGCTGTGCAGCACCTGCACGGCACCAGGTTCCACACATGTGCGCACACATGTGCACACGCACTGTGAAAGGCTGCGCGCATTCTGGATAATCCCTTTGGTATGATCCGCCTGCTACTGCCGAAGCGCATTCATGCTCGGGGATATCAGACAAGAAACTGATCCGGCAATAAACGGCCCAAGTCAAATAAGACGCGTCACGTGCTGAGCAGCCCCTAATATAACCCGCCAGGAGAAAGAGCCAGCTGTTCAGTGGAGACCCAGCCCTCCTCCGCCTCTGCGGTGCCACTCCCTGCTTCCCTGAGCACCTTTCTTGGCCCGGGGCTGCTGCTCTGGGTTCAACCTGGACAAATGAGGCCGCTTGCATTTGACGGCCTGCATCCTGGAAGAGTGGACATCCTGGAAGCAGCAGCACCCTCCCCTGAAGCATGCAGGTCCAGCAAGCAGATGTGCCTCACCAGTGCTACAGCTGGACCCGACAAGGCAAACCCCTCTCAGCACAGCGTGACCTTTTCACAACAGTGTTCTTGCACAACTGCACAAGGGAAGCTCCAAGCAATACCCCCGTGCTCTTCCAGCCTTTCCCCAACAGGGACAGAGGAGCGGTGGACGTGCAAGGGAGTGTCTTCGCTCGCGGCCTGGTAATACTACTCATGGCTTTAGTCATTCAAGCTGCCCCTTAGTGACCAGCTAGCGCGCCGACTGCCGCCCGTGCAACCCTGCCCCGCGGAGTGCCCTGTCAAAGCCGATAAGGCCTTGAGCTCCTGGCAATGCCCTCCTTATGCCAGCAAATGCGATGCCCACCCCGTGACGTCCTGCAGCCGTGGGTTTCCCAGCTACAACCCCAAGAATCGCTTTCGTTTGGGCTCGCGTGAGATCTAGAGTTTTTTCTGCCTGTCGGCCGCAGGGTCAAAAGTCTCGTCCGCCCCATCGCGTGTTCTGGTCTCGGACCCCAGGTACCAGCAAGCTCCAAACATCTGATGGAAAAGCTCCTCTTAACATTGCTCTGCCTGCCAGCCAGAGAGCTGGAGACTGAGGACGCTGGCTGCAGCTCCACCAACTCGGGAGGTGTTTCTATTATTTTTTGTTAATGAGCACCAGCAGTTCGGAGCAATACGGTAAACCCGATCCAGCCCTCCACTCCCTCCTGCCTTGCGAGTCAGGCAGCTCGCTCTCTTCCTCTCCGGATTCTCGGGAGGATTCTCCCTGCTAATTTCTTCTTTCCTGTAAACAAACTTCAAATGAAACTTTCATTATAAAATAGAGCACCATCCATTACCACCGCCTGTCTCCCGCTCTGCCTCCTCTTCACCGTACCATGCCACTCATGACACAGATGAAAGCGACAGCAGCTGCCCTAATCAGGCAGCACAATCTCTCTCTCCCAACCTAACCCTCCTCCCTCCTCCTCCTCCTCCTCCTCCTCCCCCCACCCCTCTGCCCTCCCCTTCCCAGCTCTCGGGAGAGAGCCTCTCACCCTGCAGCAAAGGCCCAGCGCGTTGGAGGGATTGAGCCATTAGGGCTCACGGGCTCTTCATGCGGCTCCTTCTGAAAGGGGAAGCGAGTGCCCGGCGGGCACGTCTACAGCGCCACACCCAAATATAATAGCGAGGGCTCCAGGCACAGCGCAGGACTTGGACAAACAACACCATCCTCACCGCTCTCCTTATCTCCCGTCCAGTATTCACAGCTGCCTTGCAGATGGGGCCTGTCTCCGCACATGCGAAGCCACTGGCACTTGTAGTGTTGCCACTCTGCTCCTGCACCCCCCTCTGTTCGCAATCTCGGGGCACTTCCTGACCCTTCGTCAATGTAAGCCTTCCCCAGCTTAGAAAAGTAGGCGCCCCACCTGAGAGCGCAGGCACTGACCGCTGCAGGCCACGCAGCAACCCGGGGGGAGATCCGGCAGTCGGACCTGGAGCGCGGGGCTCCCCGTCCCGGGCCCTTCCGTGAACAGGAAGGCCGAGATGGGGCGGGAGGGAAGACGACTCTTCTGACCAGCCCTTGTGAATATATGCAAGCGCTATCGGTAACCTGCTTGTTTTACAGCGAGGCTCAGTTTCTCCGGGGCTGGGTTGCAAGCACCTCCAAAGTCACTGACACCCTCTCCGGCGCCATTTCTCTTCCAGGCGCAGTCCTGTGACTTTCTGCACGGCTTATTCTTCTCTTGGCATCCACCTGGTCTCGTTGTCCAGGTGTTTTCCCACTTCTTTCTGCGGCCACGTGCCGTCCTGGACTGCTCTCTGGGATGCAGAAGTGCAACTTGTGGGAAGGGGAGCGTTGCATGTCAGATGGAAATAGCAGGCACTGCGTGTACCAAGCAGTCTTTCTGGGTGAAAACCACAGTTGCCACATGACTGTATCTCATCTCGCAGCTTCCTTTTTCGACTTGTGGCACTTGGTGGCCTCTCCCTGTGGTTGCTCTACCTGAATGTCGGCATCTCGGGGTGGGGGAAACGCTACCACGGCCCTGCCCCGAAGGACATCACCTTCTACCGCAAGGGTGGGGAACACCTCCAGCAGCCGGGTATCTCCACGTCCGTAAGCATTATCTCCGGCCTTCGGAACAGGCCGAGGAGGTACGGACGAGGCCTGAACCGTGCCTGGTCCTAATGTAACCAGCTGAGCTCCTCGGAGAAAGATACGGCCCCTCCAAGCAGAGCTTGGATACCGCGGCAAGCAAAAGGGGCGCTTGCAGCGCCCGAGAGCTGGGAAGCTCCGCCACGCAAACTGGAGCCAGGGTCCCGTGCAGGAGGCTCCGCTACGCGCACGCGTGGCACGCTTTGCACGCAGACCGTACGCTAGCAATGCCTTCCCTCCCAAGCTTTCGGACTTGAGCACCAAGTGACA